CATAAATAAATACCACCTCACACTGCACAAAGAACAGGTGAGTCTTTTAAAAATTCTCTAATCTTTTCACTTCATTCCTTACTAACTAATCACAGCAAGAGAAAAAAATATATATACATGTGTACACACACACACACACACACACACACACACACACACACACACACACACATATATATATATATATATATATATATTATATATATTTTATTTTATTTTATTTATTTATTTTTTTCTCCTGCTGTGATTTAACGTCATCAAAATTATAATGATAAAAACTGGTGTTACAAGTCACTAATTACAATTTGTGACAATTACTCGCCTAACATTCAGATCCTGAGGCAGATTTTCAATGAGTTCTCTCTATGGTTTCATATGTTATGTCGACAGTATGTATGTGACAGTATTCACAAATGTGTCACTATTTAACCAAAGTGATAAGACCGCCTTTAGATTGGCAACATTGACTTAAGCCTTTACAGCACCAATCAAGTGTGTCATCTTCAAGACCGTGTTACTGAAGGTCTGTTAGGGCTAGCTGGAGCTCTGTTTTATTCAAAATTAATTAATTTGTCATATAATGCTTCTGTTTTGCTGAAATATTTCCTATGTAGAACAGAACAAGAACAGTCTTAAAAAAATATCCTCGAAGTTTGGACATTTTAACTTTAATATAAGCTTTAAATTTGTTTGACTGCCCATTTTTTTCATGAAATTATAGACTATTTTCATAGAATTTAAAATGGTAAAATTTAAATACTAAAAGGTTTTGATTTTGAGCGTGTTCTAAACTTGAAAAGCCCCCACTTTTACTCTTCTTTAAGTAAAGGGAGCTGTGCTACACTCAAAGCATAAAGGGTTCTATAATGGAACGTTTCTTGGTTCTACAAAGAACCATTTTTAAAATGTTCTTTGAAGAACCATATCCATCATACAGAAAAACCACTGAACCATGCAAAGAACTTGTTTTTACCAATACATAATTTATATCAATATTTAACTTATAACTATATTGCTTTTACTAAAGAAGCCTTGAAGAACCACTTTTTAAGGGTATACATTTAAAAATAAAGGTTTCTGGTTCTTGGTTTGGATGTACAGTTCTGAAAAAAAAATGTTTAATCTGTATAGAACCCTAACATTATGTAGAGATTCTTTGAGCTTCAAAAAGGTTCTTCACACTCTTAAACAAAATGTGGTTCTTGAAGAACCATCCATTGAAAGGTTCTTTAGGGGCTCAAAAGTGGCTCTGCTATGGCATCACTCTAAAGAACCCTTTCTGGCACTTTTATTTATTAAGAGTGAATTTTGTAAAATCATTTTTATTTAACAGTAATTTCTACAGTTTACTGCACTCTCTCACATGTTTATGCACTGCATATGCGGTCAGTCTGCATTACTGAAAGAGAAACTACTTCACTGAAAGGCCTAAACTCTCTTGTCTTGTGTTCTGTAATGAAAAAAAGCTGTCAACTGCGACAACCAGATGTGTGAACCCCTAGCATTCAAAACCACCGAATAAATGCTTTAACACTGTGGGCTATAGAGAGACAGAGGTCACTGTAAATGTATTGCTCATATGTGTGATCTGCTGGCTGTAATGGTCAGGATGGTGTAGACGAGAGCTGATTTGGACACCAGGTGGGTTCCTCAGGGCACTGCTGGACTGGCCTGCAGGATTTAAAGCCAGTGAGGTGCTGCAGAGCCTCAGAGGGATGTGTTTTGGACGAGGGGGGGTCTCTTGGTGGCTTTTGGTCAGCTTTAATGCTGGGGACGAGTCACTCCTGCCATGAGTGTCAACACCAATGAGTTCAACGTACGACCTTGTGAGCTCACCTTGCTAGGAGAGACATAGAAAGTGGAATTAGAGCAGTGACAGTGTTGAGAGGGAACTGTGTCATACCTGTACTAGGGGGGACTCTTTTTCTCTTCCTGCGTGCTGTTGCACGTTTATGTGTGGAAAAACTTGACTACATGTAGGCCCACTACAAACCATAAACTGAATTTCCATCTTTGGGGACATTCCACTGTTTTGTTTGTTCATATATTTTGGGGTTTTTTGTTTTGATTTGTTGTGTTTTTTTTTGTTTGTTTTTTTTTTACCTTCTCTCACTAAAAATGTGAAAACATCCATAAAGCAAAAACATGGTAATCTATAAAGCATGTTTTAGGCAGGCCTGGTTCCAGAACAAAATCACTGAGGTTAACTGGTGTTACAAGACATTTATTATAATTTTTGAAATTACTTTCATAACCTTCAGATCCTGGAGGCAGATTTTCAACAAGTTCTCCTTATGCTTTCATAGGTTATGTCAAAACTATTTACGTGACAGTTTTCACAAATGTGTGACTATTTAACCAAGTCAATAACATAGCCTTATTGAAGACTGGTGATATTGACTTTCCCCTTTTGCATTAGCAATCAAGAATGTCATCCCCAAGGCGGTGTTATTGAATGTCTGGTAAGGATATCTGGTGCCCTCTGGTTATTCCTAATGAACAGAATGTAGAATAGAATGAGTACAGTCTTAAAAATAAAAGTTCCTAAATGGTTCTTGGCTTGGACACAAAATTCTTGATAGATCTTGATAGCTTCGATAGCAATTCTTCACAGCATCTTAAATAGTAAAATTGAATTGTCAAAAAGTTTCGGTTTTGAATGTGTTCTAAATGTAGAATGTTCCACTCTTAAGCATCTGTGGAGTAAAGGAAGCTGTGCTAGACTCTTAAAAATAATACATATCAGAAAGAAATGAGGGTGCACACTAGGAAAGTGCTCGCTTTAATTGCTAATTTGTGAAGATTACCACAAACAGAAAAGCACTAGGGGTGCTTTGGAAAAGTGGTGTTTAACAAGAACAACCCAATATAATGGAATGGTTTCTCTTTAGGATATTTGAGTACTATTTATTTAAAAAAAAGTCCATGATAGTAAGCCTACTTGCTCATTTCTCCAACATCCAGAGAATGTGAACATCCAGAAGATAGAGGACGCAATGCACCATCTGCAGTGATCACATGATTGTCTTTACTACAAGTTACGATTTGCATACTTAACAGATATCGGCACATTACAGGACTGGTCTTGGGTACACTGTGAGCAAAGGTTCTACACAGTACCAAAAAGAGTTTTTTTCTTTCTTCTACTTAACCCTTTTTAGTGCTATATAAAAATAGGCTCTTTAAAGAAGTACAAACAACATGTTTTACATTATAGAGAAGAACCATTGAACCACACAAAGAACCATTTAAACGTATAAATTGTTCTTTGAGTGTTCACAGTTCTATACATAACCATTGTCTTTACTAAAGAACCCTTGAAGAACTACTTTTTTAAGGGTGTAGAAGTTAAAAAGGCTGTCTAAATGCATTTTCCCCAAAGCTCAACTGAGGGTGTAAAATTCAAACTGAGGATGTAGTGCATGCTTTTGCACTCCCTATTGCCTGGCTACAGGCTTTGTTTGTTTGTTTGTTTTGCTTTTTTATTTTCTGTTGTTGATCTGTCATAGCCTATATAGGTATTTTGGCCTGACTCATTTCAAGTCTACTTTTCTCTCATATCTGAGATTCTAAAGCGGATCTTTCTTCCTTGTTTGTTTGTTAAAAAAATAAAAATGTCTGCTTATTTATTGTTTGCTAAGTTATTAATCCTCCGGCTGGATCACTAAGTCCCCTATGTTGAATGAGTAATAATGATGAATCTAGAAAACAAATTTAATAGTGAGGGGCATCATTATTCATTATGCTCCAGCAAAGCCATTTGTTCATTTATTAAATATATACATAAACATAGAACAATTTATGTAAAATTATTAAACATCTGATAATAATGCTATCATTTTTGTCCAATCATTTATATATACACACTTAAAAAAGATGGTTTCTCCAAGGTTCTTTAGTAAAGACAATGGTTCTATGTACACACTTCAAAATGATGATTCTTCAAGGGTTCTTCAGTATAGACAATGGTTCTACATATACACTTCAAAACTATGGTTCTTCAATGGTTCTTTAGTAAAGACAATGGTTCTACATACACACCTAAAAAGATGGTTCTTCAAGGGTTCTTTAGTAAAGAAAATGGTTCTACATGCACACTTAAAAAGGATGGTTCTTCAAGTATTCTTTAGTAATGAAAATGATTCTATATAGAATCATGAACAATCAAAGAACCCTTTGCATGATGGTTCTATATAGAACCTTTTGAAAAGCGCTCTATATAGCAACAAAAAGTGTTCTGCTATTTTGTTACAATGTCAAGCTTGTAACAATAAAAGAAGACCTTTTGGTGCAATATAGAACTATTTTCAAAAAAGTTCTAAATAGAACCATATCCAACACATTCTTTATGAAGAACTATTTAATGAGGCAAAGAACAATTTAAGCATGAAATGGTTCTATACAGAACTCATGGTTCTAAAAAAACATTGCCTTTATTAAAGAACCCTTGATGAGTCTTCATTTTTAAGTGTGAATGTAGAACCATTGTCCTTCCTGAAGAGCCCTTGAAGAACCACATAAGATTTCCCATCGCCTTCTTCATAAAGTGCTCCCGTTCGCATAAATGAAGTTTATAGAAGTTTATCTGTAGCTTCTCTGTAATTCTGGTTCCTCTCTCTCTCTCTCTCTCTCTCTCTAAAGACCATGACCGTGTTTATGTTCCTTTAAACGTGCACTGAACGCCTTAGCCTTCACGGTAAAGGTAAGAACAGCGCGCATACAGCGTTTGGGGCGCTTTACAGCGTAAAGACCTAAGTGTTAACGGCGGTCCTCACTCACAGGCTCGATGAACTGAACCCCCGCGAGGAGAACGGGGGAAGGCCCTTTAACTACACCTGTTTTCCTACGAGCTCCGACCTCCTGCTCTTCGAGTGGCTGGACGTGGTTCTATATCCCTCCTCCTTCACTCGCATTGGCTAGTAGTTCATACTCACAAGCAGTCCGCTACAGGAGGCGGGCTACCACGGGCCAATCCGAGTTCAGCTGGGCGGGCCTTGTCTGAATACAGGTGGGAAAAGAAACTCCACGCGTCCTATCCGCGTCCTTCTCTGTCCTCAGCTCCACCTCCTCCCACTCAGCAGCCACCAAATGGATATATCACAGACTGCACGCGTTTGACTCGGTGGGTCTGTCATTCTGAGCTTTAAAAAAGTTTTATAGCAGCAACACATCCAGCGTGGTGAAATAAAACCAAGAAACGCAGATAAGCCATTTTAGCTATGGGACTGCTCGCGGTGTGTGCGTAATTCTCTCAGAACCCTCTGTCTCTCTCTCTTTCACGCAACAGAGTCTGTGGCGAAGAGTTTTTTCGGTTTTGGAGAGATTTACATGAAAGTTTTTTGTTGTTGTGCATTCTTTCGCGCTCTAGTTTTCTCTCCGGCTGGAGAAAGCCTATGCTCCCGCACGCGTTCAGCTCCGAGCGGCGCTGCGCATGGGCGGCATAGGCGGCAATTTCCAGCCCAACATGCTGAATGGAGCGGACGCGCACGGCTTCCCCAAGGACGTGGACGCGGCGCACCGCGAGAAGCCGGGACTGCACCTCCGGCCCGAGCCGCTGCCTGACGCGCACGAGAGCGCGCCGCTGACCTTCCACACAGAGCAGGGCCGCTTTTACGCGGGCGCGCCGCTCACCAGCTGCCACTTCGGCCGCGGCGGGACGGGACAGGGGTACGGGACAGCGCCGGACGGTTACCCGGCTTACCCGGAGCACCCCCACCACCATCATCACCCCCCGCCCCCTCCTCCTCCTCACTCTCACCATCCCACGCACCTGCAGCACGGATACCCGCGCGCGCCGCCGCTGTGCGCGCTCCCCGGCCTGCAGGTGTGCGGCAAGACGCAGGTCCTCCTAAACAATTTCCCACTATGGGCCAAGTTCCACAAGTACCAGACCGAGATGATCATCACCAAGCAGGGCAGGTGAGTGTGTGTTTATGTATGTGTGTGCGCGTGTGTGTGTGTGTGTGTGTGTATGTGCGTGTGTGTGTATGTGGGGGTAGTTTTGGGGTTAGAGGGCATCCTGGCTGGGTGTTTTTTTTTTGTTTTTTTTTGGGGGGGGGGTTAAAGGGCGTGAATGCATCTGGGAGGAGGGGGATGACAGCAGTGAAGTTGGTCAAGAGGATGGAGTAAGAGTTTAATGAACTGGGCTACAGAGCCTATACTTAGTGCAATGCGTTCAGGGTAATGTAAGAGATGCAGGGGGGCAAGCAAGAAATGCCCAGTGAATAGAGCACACAGTGCCAGCTGAAGCAGGTGGACATGAAATCGAGCTGCCTCTTAAATTTAGAAGGCTAATTAGGAGAGTTATGAATATAGAGGGAGCGAGAGAGGTCATTTAGGCCAAGAGTTCCTTCACTAAGACCCGCTCTGAGTTTTTGTGTGAAGGTAAACAGGTGTTTAGATGCTAACGTTCGTCTTAATTTGGGCAGGATTTGGAACACATTTTGAGATTGTAAATAAAGGCAATGAAACTGATAAAGTGTGTTGGATGAGGCACCTGCAGTGTTTGAGAGGAGGAAGAGTGTGAGAAGGAGGGAAGTCTGAGGAAAGAGGATGAGGAAGGAGAGTAGTGTACTGCGGGTGAGAAGTTGATGTCAAACAGCTGTAGGTGGGAAAAATAGTTGTAGATGTACATAATGGGGAAAGAATGTGCTCATCAGGTCAGCGAGCATTACATCAAACCGCAGACATCATGATTAATCTGCTGAATATTCACATCAGATGTTGATAAGATTCAGAATCTGATTTTGTCATATATATTAAATTAATTACATGCTAACAAATATCATACTAATTACTTCAATTATAATTCAAAGGAAAATTTATTTTTATACAGTTTTTCTTCCTATCACGTGTGTTTGTTTGTTTGTTTTTTCTTTTTTTATGGTAGGTTTTGATAAATTTATAGCTGTAGCTACTTTACTTTGAGCCGGTTGTATAAATTGCATGTAGGTATTTCTGCATATGAAAATATTCTAGTTATGAAACTGTGCCAGGTGGGGCAGATGAATAGGCAACCCCCCTACCTGAAAGTTTCTTTCTGAGATTAATAACAAACACAGAAAGTTGGCCTAGATATTTCGATGAGTTGTCTTGCTGAGTAGGCCGTACATCGTGCGCTGCCAAGATTCTGGTGACCCACATCAATGCCATGTAATCAAATCAGCAGTGAGCGGGAATTTAATCTTCCGTGTCTTTTGACTATCAAAGAAAAACTCACAAATAATATTTTTGGAGATAATGTGCATAATAAAGATGTACCTATGAAGTAAAATGATACCTGCTGGGAAAGATATGGCCTTTTAACATCTTCTGCTTTTGCTGTATGACAAAGATGACAAAGCAAATTATGCAGATGTTTAATCACTCTCTGAATGTCTGTATGTCATATTACACTAAGTAAATTGACATACAGGATTTTTCATATAAACTAAACTATACTGATGTAAGAGCTGAAGTTTTTAGTAGTGTTGCATGGTAACATTTAGAAAATTAGAGTTGTGCCACCATTAAGGAGCAGTTTATTATTTTAATTGCTTTGATTCACTTATTTTCATGTGAATTAACAGTAAACATAATGATGCAAATTTGATTGCAATGTTCAGTTATGATAAATTTTAAAGCAGAGCTTGTGTGTATTTTCGCGTGTGTACATGTGAAAGCTCGCATGTGTGTGGGTGTATGTTCGGAGTGGTCATATGCAGCAGTGGTATGTGAGAATACACACTTTTTGATGTAACTCGTAGTGGCAGATGCCTTGAGACCTTGTGGAAAATGACATTGCAGCCACGGTTGCCCTGCTCGTATAATTGAAGTAATTAATACATCTCGCCTACAACACACACACACACACACACACACACACACACACACACACACATTCTAAATCTGTTGGTCAGACAGCGCCTTGGGAAAAATTAATTCGTGCACAGAGATGTTACAACAAACAGTCCTGTTACAGCATTAGCCACTCGTAAGTCAAGCATGTAGTACATTGTTGACTGCAACTATAACATAAGGCACGCAACAAAGCTTCACTGGAGCCCCACAAGGACAATTCTATATAAAAAAAGACCTTGAGACACCCACATGTTGTATGTAGCGGACCACATCTTTGGACTTCTCAGCACTCTCTTAGGTAAAAAGCAAAGTAGACTTTCAGTTCCAGCGTAACTGAGAGTAGCAGGGTTTTCTTCTCGCGTTCTTTCAGTGGATTTTTGTCATTTATGTATGTTTATTATTACTGTAACAGTATAATTTTGACCTGCAAGGTACAAACAATTTAAATGTATGTTCAAAGATCCAGCTGTGTACCTTAAATTAGTTTTAAAAGTAAACTACATTTACTTTCCCAGTGGAAAGGTGCATGTTTGTAACTTTTCATAACTTCTATGAAATAAAAAAATAAATAAAATGAAAAGCTTGATTGTCAAGACAGGATGCATGGAGTCAATGCAAATTAAAAAAATATATAACTAATGAAATATGGCACAATTATGTTCTTTAGGGTTCTGAAGACCTACCATTTAGGGTGCCACCCCAGTGCCATGAGGGGTGATAGTTTAGTACTGTGTTTCTGACACACTCAGTAAATTCTTCTTTAGGGGAGCTCAAGAAGAACCTCTTCCATTTCTGAACAGCCAGCACAATACAGCGCACACTTGTTTTACACTTTTATAGGGTAATTAAATCTACATTTGAATTATATTACAAAATTAATTGATCCTATATCAGACTCAAAAACAAAATTCTGTGTTACCTGCAATATTTTTTTATGTTCAGGCAGCAGCCAAATACAAATGAGGTCAACAGTGTATTCTGTAGGTGAGAGCTTTATATAATGGGGTTTTGAAGTGGTGGGTCTCTGTACCAACAAGTGGCCCAGCTCAGTTCATTCAGCCCTAGGAGCAGGAAGAGTAGGGAGGGGGTGGCAAGACTTTGGGGGAAGGGGGGGGTGGTGTGCGAGTGGGGGCTGAAACTCGGATGGCCATACACATCAGTGGAGGTAGCTTTGAAGTGCAGGAAATGAAGGAAGGTGATTTTTTTTTCCTCTTTCTCGCACTCTGTCTTGCTCTTTCTTCACTCTCTCTCCTCTGGTCTGGTAGTCTGTGCAGCGAGGCAAGTTTCCTCAGAAGTGTGGTGAGATGCAGTCCGAGCTGAGGCTTTGAAATGCGTTGTAAGGCCCAGAGCCTGAGACGAGAGCAGAGGTCCTCAACCCTTTTCAAGTTCTCCTCTAAAACTGCCTCCAGTTTCTCCAGTATCGGCTCCGCCACTAGCCCGTGCGTACTCCATTAAACATGCTCTGTGTGGGCTCAAGAGTAACCGGCTCACATCAGTCGTTTTCCAAAAATGCTGAAGGAAGCATGCGCTTATTGATACAAATTCATCAAAAAATCAAATGACCAGTTAGATGACCATGAGTTTATCTGACAGCGTTTACAGTTTTAAATAGAAATGTAAAAGACAGTAAAATACCAAATGAATAATGAAATATTGAAAATCCAAAGTCAAGCTTTTGAGATGATGTACTGTATTAGTCTACAACATCAAAGGATTTCATTAATTATGTATCTAGACTGAAGTGAGATAGGTGAGAAATTTCATTTAAAACAATAGAGATAAGATATACCAAAACTGTTAACGTTAGTATTCTTTTTGAAATTATCTACATAATCTGGAGAGGTTTTTAATGAAAATATGATCACACGTTTACATTGTTTAGCAATTTAATTCCTAAAAACAATAATCACACAGAGATAAAATGTATTCAACATGACATGGAAGTGATATAGAGATATATTGCTGTTGTCGGAACAAAACCTTATATCTCCATTTTTGACGTTTTTCAGTTTTGACATAATTTGAAAATACCGGTTTCCCTTTACATTGTATATAAATTTCTTGCTAAATGGACCAAATGAAATGACCCAGAATTACTTGGAAAAAAGTCTGGTTCCACTGACTTGCATTAGAAGTAAAGTAGGTTTTTCCTTTTCCTGTAAAGTTATCTTTCTGGAGATACAAGGTTTTCTTCTGACAACAATACAATACATAGTGTATATGTAGCGTATACTTTTATATATATATATATATATATCAAAACCATGTATCTCCATTATTTTTATATTTTTATTATCATTTGAGAACAGCAGCTGCCCATGTGCAGCACCTACATTGTGTAAAACTCTCATGATGAATGAATTCACTCCAAAATAACCTGGAATATCTCTACTCATTAATTTACATTTTAAGTTAAGACCATTTTTGCCATCTACTGCAAGGTTGCAAATACATGAATTTGTTTGGACAGTGATGATATGATGTTTGTGGCCAGAGAAAATAATGTTCTCCATATAAGTGTTCAGAAAAGAGTTTGGTTCAGGTTCAGTTCTGAGCACTCTTCATGGAGATGTGATTCAGCAGCTTCTTTGTAGATCTTACCATTCCGTCTTCTGCGAAGTCCACACTCAGAGGAATCATGGGTCTGTGCTCAAAGTGAAAATAAAACACCTTTTCTGCTTCAGCGAATTCACATCTGGAAATTCAGCGTCTAAAGGAGCATGTAGCGCTGTTCAAAATTTCCAGGCAGTTGTTTATGGCATGATTACTTTAATAATGCAAATAGTCAAATTCCCCTGATGAGAGTGGTGTACCTTGGTCCAAAATATAATTATAGAGTCTATGTGCAGTGTTTATGGTGTAGGTGGATATATTGTAGGCTGTTGCATGTTTTAATTGCATGTCTGTTCAAACCTTACTTGTCTTCTAATACAAGTGCATTAGGGCAGAAAGTTTGCCTTGTTAATTTCACTTTATGATATTGCATGAAATGAAACACCACATTTCCGAAGCTTGAATATTGGCATTAATCTTTAGTAGTCATGACTGAATATCGAGGCTGTTTATTGGCTTTATGCTTT